GAGGTGGATTCCCGGCCCATCTGACCACCTCCCTCCAGTACGTACACGCGGCTCGAACCCGCGTCCTACCGGACGCAGACCTGCTCCTGCGAGCCTCCCACACTCCCCGAGGCCCCGCGATCACTGGCAGTCCCCAGCCACCGCTTCCCTAGGGTCTCCTCACTGTCACTGCCACTCTGAGCTCCAGGTCCTCCTCTCCTGAAACCTGGTCTAACCCTTACTCCTGAGGGTTTCGGGGTCTCCGGCGGCAGAGGAGCCCCCGTGAGGATCCCCTCTCTACTCAAATATAGGACCCCGTGGGTCCCTCAGTCTTCCCCTGTCTCTCTTCCTCCTTAGGTTTTTCCACCTTGTTCGGACCCCAACTATGTCCATCCTCTACGTCTCCCCTCACCCAGATGCCTTCCCCAGCCTCCGAGCTCTCATAGCCGCTCGCTATGGAGAGGCTGGGGAGGGTCCTGGATGGGGAGGAGCCCACCCCCGCATCTGTCTCCAGCCGCCCCCGGCCAGCAGGACTCCCTTTCCCCCACCCCGCCTGCCGGCCCTGGAGCAGGGGCCTGGTGGGCTCTGGGTGTGGGGAGCCACGGCTGTGGCCCAGCTGCTGTGGCCAGCAGGCCTGGGGGGCCCTGGGGGTAGCCGGGCAGCTGTCCTCGTCCAACAGTGGGTCAGTTACGCCGACACAGAGCTAATACCAGCTGCCTGTGGGGCAACGCTGCCAGCCCTGGGACTCCGAAGCTCTGTCCAGGACCCCCAGGTGAGGGGGTTGGAGAGAAAAGGGGGAGGGGAGAAATTAAGAGGAAGGGAGCGAGAATTGGAATGGATAATGAGACAAGAACATAGCTTGTCAGATGTAGAAACAGTGTTCAAATCCCAGATCACCATCTGGTGTGGTAACCTTGGACACACTGCTTAAACTCTCACAGCCTTGGTCTTCCTGTGTCTGTGAATACCAAGTTGATGTAATACCTGCCTTACTGAGTTAATGAGATTAAAAGATGTGCGCAGAGCACAAACAGGCGTTTTAAAGTCTCTGAGTAAAAGTTTGATGAGTCTGAAACTGATGAGGATAGAGATTATTTTGAATTGTAGACTGAAAAGGACTGGGTGAGGGAGAAATAACAGTTGCTGGGAGGGGATAAAGGAGAAATGGAACCTGGAGGAAGGGACAGGAGAGGAGAGATAACCCTGTCAGATTGTAACTGAATCAGAGCAGAGCGGTGCCTTAGTGTACTTAGAGCTCTGCCTCCTTGCATTGTTGAACACATGGTGGATATTTAGTACTTCTTGAATGATTGGATGACTGTGTGAGTCCTTCCCTCCTAGAATTCCCTGATCCCCTCATTCGGCTTTATTTTCCTACATAGGAGTTAAGAAAAATAGGACAGTGCATTACATATTTGCTCATTTTTTGTTCCTCCTCTAGACTGTAATGTCTGCCAGTCCCAGACTTCATCAGTTTATCTGTTCATGTTGTGGCTTCATTCCCTGAAGAGATACTTAATAAATATTTGTTGATGCCCTGGACCTGGACCAGGTGTGCCACCACACCTGGCTAATTTTTTTATATAATTAAAAATATAATTATAATCATATAATCTTTAACTTCTGTGCTTAATATCTATTGCATTTGACATATAATAAGTGTTTGGTAGGGACTTGTTGGATGAATCAGAGACATTTTTTATGATGACCACTTGAATGAAGAAGAAACTGACCTCAGAGGTGGTCATTTGTGGAAGTGGGAGTAGAGGGAGGCCAAATGGATTGGGTGGGGGTGGGAGATGGAGGTGGGGATTGAGGTGGGTTAAGCCTTGTCTCAAACCCCTTCTCCTTCCTGCCAGGCTATGCTGGGGGCCCTGGGCAGGGCCCTGAGCCCCTTGGAGGAGTGGCTGCGGCTGCATACCTATCTAGCAGGGGAGGCCCCCACTCTGGCTGACCTGGCGGCTGTCACAGCCCTACTTCTGCCTTTCCGATATGTAAGTCACAGGGGTCTGGGGAAGAACAAGAGTGCTCCTCTCTGACCTCACGGTAAGGTGACTAAGGATAGTCACTTCTTTCCTGTTCCAGGTCCTGGACCCACCTGCTCGCCGGATCTGGGGTAATGTGACTCGCTGGTTTATCACATGTGTCCAGCAGCCAGAATTCCGGGCTGTACTGGGAGAAGTGGTTCTGTACTCAGGGGCCAGGGCTCTCTCTCAACAGCCAGGTGAGGAAGGGTGAGGAGTGGGAGGATAGGGCTCCTCTGGGGCCTTCCATGTACCTCACTTTTGTTTTTCTCCCAGGAATGGCAGCATC